AGAAAAGAAAAAAGAAATAATCGAGTGGAAAGACAACCTAGAGTGGGAGAAGAATCTTCATTAGATGGACCATATGATCCAGTTATACCTCTGTTGAACATTATCCAAATGACTCTAGGTAGACATAACACAGCAATAATTGCATATCAATGTTTATTAATTACACCACTATTCACAATAGCTAAGTTCTGGAACTAAACTAGGCATCCATTCAACAGAGAAATAGGTTTAAAATGTGATAGATAGAAGATAGATAGATAGATAGATAGATAGATAGATAGATAGATAGACTTTTTCAGCTGTAAAGAACAGTTATATCATTTACAGGAAAATGAATATAATTGATGATAATCGCACTAAGCAGATGAATTCACATTCAGAAAGACAAATATTGCATGCTTTCATCTGTAGTTCCTAGATTTCATAAAGATATGTAAAATCACTTATGACACAAAAATAGAAACAGTGCTCTCTAGAGTAGTGGTTCTCAATCTGTGGGTCGTGACCTCTTGAGAATCAAATAATTTTTTTTTTACCAAGTTCACATATCAGATATACTGCATATCAGATATTTATGCTATGATTCATAACATCAAAGTTACAGTTATAAAGTAGCAATGAGGATAATTCTGTGGCTAGGGTCACCACAACATGATGTGTGTGTGTGTGTGTGTGTGTGTGTGTGTGTGTGTACCACTGGGTTTAATTGTGTTTGCTTGCATGACTATGAGTTGGACTGTTTTGTTTTGTGAGGATGGATCTCACCCTGTAATCCAGAACTCCAAGCTGACCTGGAACTTGGAGCTGTAACTTGAAGTGATTCTGCTTCCTCAGCTTCCCACATGCTGGGATTATAAGAAGAGCCAACTTCTCTGGCTCTCAACTATCTATCCTTAATAAATATAGTTTTATGTTTCTGTTGAGATCTCTTTTACATTTTCTTGCTACTGTAATTATTATGTTTTTTAGGTGATGTTTTCTTATTTGTGTTTCTTATGAAAATGTAATTATCAATTTTGAAAATTTAGTAGCCGGGCGGTGGTGGCGCACGCCTTTAAACCCAGCACTTGGGAGGCAGAGGCAGGTGGATTTCTGAGTTCGAGGCCAGCCTGGTCTACAGAGTGAGTTCCAGGACAGCCAGGGCTACACAGAGAAACCCTGTCTCGAAAAAAAAAAAATAGCTTTGCTAAATTCGCTAATTATAAGTTGAAGGTTAAATTATCTTGGATTTTCTATAAAACTCATTCAGAATGGTTCTTAAAACTGTTATATATTTATAATTAATACTTTAATTAGAAAGTGCAATTAGTAAATTTTTAAAAACACATTTCCCTCACTTTTATTTCTCCTTTTCATCCAGTTTCTAGACAAACATTTTCTTACACATTGCCCTAGGACTTCTTTGTGATGATACAGCAAATATAATTTTTTTTTCCTTGCCATCACAGAGATGTCAGGCTATACAAGGACTCATTCTTTTGCTATCTTCCCTTAGTTGTCCTTGGAAAAATCAAGTTTTGAAAGTCTCTTGGTGCTAGAGTCATTTTTCCTGGATAATGTAGCTACCACCCCTGATCCAAGATGCTTCTATTTACAACAAAGAGAGAACATTACTAAAAACTCAACTGGATACAGTGCAGAGATCGACAGATCGTGGGGGTCCCAGCCCCAACAGATACATCTACATCACGTTTCCTGCATCTATGGCTCAGAGGACATGGAGGAAGAGGAGGCAAAAAAAAAAAATGGTAAGAACCAGAATCCTAGGAAGTCAGCTGTAAAACAGTGCCTCCAAGAAATAGCTGCATACACAAGACTGAAACAATTGTAATATCAATAGACAATATCAATATCAATGGACTGGGGTAAAATTTCACAGGGTGCCACTCTAAACCAAAGAACTACTGGTAACTATTGACTAGTCTCTTCCTGGGACGAGCCCTCTTATTAGTTGTCCAGTGAGCCTTGAAATCTTGAAGCACACAAATAACACACAAACAACAACAAAAACCAACTTAACCTGTGGCGATGGAGATGGGGAGGGGGAGGGGGAGGGGAAGGGGAGGGGAAGGGGGAGGGGGAGGGGGGGAGAGAGATACACACACACATACTTGTTCGTGCACATACATATGTGCGTATACACAAATACACACACATGAATATAGCAATAATAAAGAAAAAAGGCTATCAGCTTGAGAGTAAGAGGGTAGGGGGAAAGACTGTAGGAAGGAAAGGGAGGAGAGAAAGTGATGTATTTCTACTTCAGTTAAATTTTTTTCTTTTTACAAGTCTTTTTACGAAGCAACCACGAAGTGGACAGAGAAAAGGGGAAGACGAATCATAGAGTGTCGCTGGTGCCTAGAGAAGCCGGAAGTGCTCTGTGCCCCGCCCCCGGGGTCGGACTTTCGGCACTTTTGTGACTGCGGGGTGCTACGAGGTGCTGCGATCGCGATCGCGGGTGGGTTCGGGTCCCCTCCTGTTACGGTCCTCCCTCGGGGGCCGGCTGCTTGTGGGTGGTGGGGTGGGACAAAACACCTTCCTCTGGGGCCTAGTGGCGCTGGGAAAATAAACTCGGAGGCCACTTAGGCCGAGCGCCCGACAGGGCCTCAGGCGTCTCGCCTCGGGCCGGTTCCGGGTGTCTGGTCAGTCTCAGGGCGTTTGGCGATGGGATTCTCAGGTCTTGTACTTAAGCTTTGAAAATGGGAGACGTCACAGTTTTGCTTTTCCTGGAGACAAGGTCAGTTCCAAGGTCTTTATTCTGGGGTGCTGGAAGAGAGCCAGAACTTTGGAATCGGGTTGCCTGGTCAGATCTGGCCTCTGCTACTTTGTGACTTCTCCCAGTCCCTTAACCTTTCTGTGTTTTACTATTTTAGGGATTAATGATATTGCCTAACATACTGGATTGTTGTGAGGAGTAAATGGCTTCATTTGTGCAAAGGTGCTTAAAATAGTACCAGGCACGGGGTAATCTGCACAGTGTAAAGATAGCTGTTATTATTACTGTTGCTATTTCTAACTAGGACAGCACTTTCTCTTCATTGATTAGCCTCGGTGCTGGCTGTTGTCTTTTGAATTTTAGTGCTATTTACCCGTTCTCTTTGTAATAAATGACTTCTGTATTTTAGGAGGGAGAATAAAACACTCTGGAAAAGAGCCTGTCCCACAGCAAAGACTAAAAGTGGTTTGTGTGGTGTCTTGTGATGCTCAGACTCACAGAGTTTCAAAATCTTGGGGATGCCTTTTTTTTTATTATTTTTATTTTTTTAGTGGGAGGAGGAGCTTGAGGAACAGGAGGAGCATCTAACAGTGAAGAAGGATAAGGACCCTGATGTAATCAGACATTGCTGTTTTGCTTGGTGCTTCGAACCTGCCAGCTTTCTGACCCTCAACAAGAATCCTCACCAGCTTGAGAACCCCATGGATGGCTGATAGATATGACTGATGATAGGTAGATTGATGGTAGATTAGAGATAAACAGATCTGAAACTGAGTTCACACTAACACCCTTTGTTCTTTTTGCAGGTTTTTAAAGCTAATATTGACCGTATACAATTTACCATTGTCGTTGAGTTGATGCTTCTTGTGATCTTTGAAAGTCCTTTCATCTTCCTTCTTTTTTCTTAAGGATTTTGGGTCTTTAACCTCCTCAGGGTGTGCAGGGATCCCTGTAGTAGTCTTTTCTCTATTTGTAACTTAACAAAAAAAACAAAAACAAAAATCTTGTCTTTGGTTTACTTATTTGACAAACACTGGTGTTGATAAACAGTCTTTTGATCCTATAACTTTGTACTCTGCCCAGTTGGTGAGACTCCAGATAGGAGAGCCAATGAAAAGTGAGTGTGTGAAATGATTATTCAGAATGTATCAATGTTCGTTTTTTCTCCCTACTGCCTCTCCCAACAGCACCACTCCCTTTCAGCCTCAGACCTACTCTCACCTCCCTTGACCCCAACAATATGCTTTGGACTGTACTGAGGAAAGAAAGAAGATAGGATTTTGTTTACTATTTAAAATTACATTAGTAAAGATTTAAATGTAAGTTAGAGAGAAACTTCAACCCAACTGTAATAGTAGGCCCGGCATTCAGCCATAATCTTGTAATCATCTTCTGTCATCTTTTCCTGCCTTTTCTCTTTCCTTCCCTTTCCTCCGTCTGTTGTCATCTACCTCCCTTTTCCTCTCTCTTCCTGCTCTCCGACCCCTTCTTCCTTTTATTCCTTTTACAGCAAACTAGAGGCCAAGGCATCAAATCCCTTCATCTGCAGGTACAGCAGTGCTATAATGTAGGAACTTTAGTTTAGACATATTATCATGAACAGAATTGACAGTAATTCCTTAATATAGCATTCATGCTTTCCTGATTGACCCACAAGTGTCTTTTGACAGTTAAAACATACTATGTTTAAACTACACAGTATGTATAGAATTGCTATCCCTTGTAATCTAGGATAGTTCACCTTCCTTTTGCTTCCTCTTTAAAAGTAACATTTATTTGTGGGAGAACTTGGGTTTCCAATATTCTCACATCAGTTGCTTAATTCTACTGATACTTTGAAAAAAAAAAATCTTATCTTAGTTCTCAAACTTGGCTGCACTTTGGATCACACAGTAAGTTCTCAGAAGCTGAGGCCTATGACCCTCCTCCAGAGACGGGTTCAGTTCACCTTGGCTGCCTAACTATTAGGAGGTTTTAAAAGCTTCCCAGTGGTTCTGTTGCAAGGATAACTTTAATCTTTTAATTTGTTCTTGTGTTTTCACCTGTACATGAGTTCGTGTTTCTAGAGGCTTGATTAAATTTAAGTTTACTTATTTGAATAAAATTATATTAGTTCAGATCTCTTGTGACAGCCAATTAGGAAGTATTTTCTGAGTCTTTGTAACAATTGATATAATGTTCCCCCGGGTATGATGGTTCACAACAGTACTCTCAGTACTCAGGTAAGGCAGGAGGATTGCCAAAAAGAAAAAACAAAACGAGTGAGTCATGGTTACTGACTTTCCATCACCTGTGTTATCCCATAAATTGTAGAAAATTGGAGTGAGAGACATTCAAGTGGGCACAGATTTGGAATTATCTTTCCCTTAGTAATTCTAGCTTACCTGTTCTGGTCTCATTTCACTGAGTAAAGAGGGATGAACTGCTATCTCAGTGTACCCACAGAACTTTGCAGCCAGTTCTAGTTTAAAAATCTAGTTTGAATCCTTCTGATTCAAAGTAATCCCATCTTCTGTCCCTTTTAGGGAGTCTAGGTCTCACAGCTTTTGGGAAGCTGTGAAAAACTGAGGCACCGACTAGTTAATATGTGACATTTCCAAGATCATACATCTGATAGTGATCAGGAAAGAGCATCTGTACATGTATCTTATTATAGTGCCAGGTTCTAACTCAAGTGGGATTCTCAACCAGCCTTCTCTGGTGTGCATTATGCCAACTTTAGCTCCCTTGTGAGGCACATTGGGCAGCCATTGAATGCCCATTTAACACAGCTTTTGAGGTTACACGGTGAAGGAAAAGGAGGGTGTTTCTTTTACTCATTCTGTATGGGTTAGAGATCTCCAGTACATCTGCCCATCCATCTGTTGTCTATTGTCCATGAAAATAAGCTTGCCTGCCTGCGTACACTGGAGGCAGCCTTTGTCCTTACCTTCTTACCAGGTAGCTACTTTCTCTGGTCTAAGTTTTCTGTAAGCTTATAACATCAAGATGTATCAGCCAGTTTTGAAGTTTACATTTTTGTGTGTATTGTATGTGTTCCAATGTTTGTGCACCTGTGTATACTGGTACATGCACACATGTGTAAACATGGAAGCCAGAGATCAATATTGAATGTCTTCTATTGCTTTCCACCTTTATTTTTATTTAATTATTATGTTTTTGAGACAGGGTCTCTCACTGAACCTAGAGCTCACCAGATTGGTAAGAGTTGGCCAACAAACTCTAGGGAATCTTCTCATCTCTACAGCCCGAGTGCTGGAATTACAGATGCATGCCACCGTGTGGTGTTTTACGTGGTTGCTGAGGATCTGAACTCAGGTTCTCAAGCTTGTGTAGAAGGTACTTTACTGATTAAGCTGTATTCCTAACCCCTATACTTGGACTCTCACAGTAGTGGTTTATAGTTCCCAAGGTGACATTTAGCAACTCTGGAGTTGTTTGATGCTATTGTCACCTAGTGGGCAGAGTCCAGGAGTGCTCTTAGCCATTCTCATAGCTATCAGGTAGTCCCCTCTTCTTTGTACCATAGAGGTAACCTCACTTAAAATGCCTGAACTTGGGAAAAATGGCCTTGGAATGAATTTTAGAAAAAAGGCATTTGTGTTTTATCAGTCTTTTCTCTTACACAGTAACAAATTTATTCTGTTTCTACAATATATTAATACCTGAGAAATAGAAAAACAAGGTGAGAACAGTTGTTTTCAAGAAACTCCCAATCCAGTGGGATAGACAAACTATTTATTTATTTAGAAACATAGTTTTAGTATATAGCCTGAATTGCCCTAGATTTTACTGTGTAGACCAGCATGGCATTGAATATGCAGCTGTCCTCCTGCCTTTGTCTGATGAGTGCCGGGATTACAAGTATATTCCATCAAGCCTGGCCGACAAGTTTTATTTGACATTCCCAAAGTTCCAGCAGGGGCCATGTGTGGAAACTGGTGCTAGCATGATTGAAAACATTCATACCCTGGTTAGGAATTTTAGATTGCTGTCTAATCGAAGTTTTGGAGAATAGGGTCGGAACGCGTGCGTGCATGTGTGCAAGTGTGTTTACTAGGCTGGAAACAATGATGCTAATAGTTGTGAGAATAGAGACACACAGGTCTGAGAGACAGTCCAGGGTAGAACAGACTGGAGTAGATGATCCCTGTTGAAATTGAGTGAGAAGAGGCCGGTACATGATTATGAGGATGCCTACCGGTAGAGCTGCTGCATGTAGAGAATGTTGCAATGGGAAAGTGAGAGAAAGCAAGAGAATCAGCTTTGTTTGAAGCATATTGACTTAGATTTGCTTGTAATTTCCACTCAGAACTATCTGGGCGACGACTCACAAGATAGGGATCAAGAGTCTTTATCTAAGAAATAGGAGGTAAATAAAATCTTGGAAGGGACTCAAGAATATGCGTTGGGGGCTCAAGAACAGAATGCCAGAGCCCACTCTTACTTAAAAGGGAGAAAGGCCAGTAAACAGTTTTGATGTTAATGTACTACTTTATTAGTTGACACTAATATAGTACTCACCACATGCTAACCACTGTTCACAGTGCTCACATTTCTTATCTGTTGTCCCTAACCTATTTACATGTGAGGAAATCAAGGCACAGAGATGTGTAATTTACCAAGGTTACCCATTGGCTTGAGCCAAACCAGAATTGAGACCAGGAATCTTAGCTTGGGGGTCTACATACCTAGTCAGACCAAAGGAGGGCATTGAAGAGAAAATACAGAGGCAACAGAAGAAAAAAGGTCCCATAACCCTGGGACAAGAGAGTTTCTAGACATAAACAGTAACTTCAGCCTGGTTACCTGAACAGCCATGGAACTGAAAGAAGCTTTTTTTGGCTACTAAGGCATATGGTCTACATCTGTGTTGAAACCCTGGCAGAAAGAAAACTGGAGTTGGAGTCTGGAGGGTGTTGGTCTTAAAGGGGTAGCAGACTGGATGACGGGCGGGATCTTGCCCTCATGGAGCTTTTCCTGTTTTCTAGATGTAGAATACAAGATTTCTCTTTATGATGCTAGCCTGACAACGACACACGCTTCTCATGCACCTTGTGTAAGCTTCTCTTACACAAGCTTAGTCTGCATGCACCTCATTGTTACCTTCCACTAGTACAATTCTTTTCCTAAGCAAACCACATTTTTCATATACTTTTAGTCTCTCCCTATGGATTTGAGTAAGAGCTGTGAACACTAGTAATGGCATATAGCCTGAATGCTATCCTATTTGGAATTTCTTGCGCTAAATTACTCCATTTTTTTTTTTTAAATTCACTCTCAAGTTCTCTTGGCAAGGACAGAATGCAGCCAGATACTTTGCCAGAATGCAAACATAAACAGCTTTTACTCCAGTTCCTGAAAGGTCTATAGTCTCTGAAACTCCACCAGCTAGGCCTCTACTGCTCACAAATTTCTGGCATTCTGGAATTCCAAACTCTCACCAGAATGACCTGTTAAGCTTTACTTGTATCCATAGGACCTTACCCTACAGCAGCAAACTGTCATTCTCTCCACAAACCAGTCCATAGTTGTAAGAAACACATGGTGCAGTTTATCACAGCAGTGGCCTCTGCTCTGGACTAGTTACAGTAGTTACTTTCCTGTTGCGATGACAAAATACCAACAGAAGCAAACAAAGGAAGAGTTTATTTTGGCTGACTGAGGGTACAATCTAACATGGAGGCAGCTACTCATATTCTATCTAGTAAGGAAGCAGAGAGGAACGCTAGTGTCCTACTTACTATCTCCTTGGCTGGGACCCGAGCTCATAGAATGACGCCACCTACAGTCATGGTGGATCTTCAGTCTCTCCAGAACACCCTCATAGACATTATGATACTAAATCCCTTAAGATGGTACAGAGACATTTGAACGTGGGGATCTCCACAGCTGCTCCTTGGCAGTTCCCTTGGGGTTCTGGGTCTAGGAGGAAGGGAGCATTTACAACGATAGTGGCTTATAGTTATCTCCACCTCTCAGTGGTCTTTTGCAGAAATACAGCTCACAGCTACAGTGAAACGGGAGAACTGCTTGGTTCAGGATGGCTAGAGAATCAAGGGAAAGCACAACCCTGGACTCACACTCTGCAGAGGACCAGATGGAGCTACTGGTTATAAAGGTGGAACAGGAAGAGACTTCCCCCTTGGCAGAGGAGGCCAGTTGGCTGGGCAGTCCTGGGCCTGACCGCTCCCGCCAGCGCTTCCGTGCTTTCCGCTACCCAGAGGCAGCCGGGCCCCGCCAGGCGCTGAGCCGGCTCCGCGAGCTCTGCAGACAGTGGCTGCGGCCAGACATGCACAGCAAGGAGCAGATCCTGGAGCTGCTGGTGCTGGAGCAGTTCCTGACCATCCTGCCAGGGGAACTGCAGGCCTGGGTGCGCGAGCAGCACCCCGACAGCGGGGAGGAGGTGGTGGCACTGCTGGAGTACTTGGACAGGCAGCTGGATGAGACACCTCCACAGGTAGAAGGAACAGGTTTAGACCCATGCCCTGTGCCTTTCAGAAACCTCAAGCAAGATCCAAGGGAGGCATTGCTTAGAGCCTGCAAAGTCTCAGTCTGTGCTGGGAACCTGAGGCAACCAGCGAATTGACCTGGGCTCCTCAGAATAGTGAATCGCATAAAGGGAAAGAAAAGGATTGTGGAAGAACTCAGACCTAGTGAAGCTGGGGTAGAACGTGTCGAGCAGAGTGGTGAAAGGTTATATATGTTCTTCTTACTCTGTGTTGAGTAAGATACAAGGACGGGTTTGAGCACAGTGACAATAGGCACAAACGACTTTAGGTGTTTTCTTGGCTTGTCACATGTAACACCATCTGCAGTGGCTTGCTGGCAGTACTGTGGTACTTATGCCGTGCACCTTTGTAGTTCCAGTTGACAGTGGAGGGGAATTCTAGGGTTATCTTTTTTTTTTTTTTTTTTGGTTTTTCGAAACAGGGTTTCTCTTTGTAGCCCTGGCTGTCCTGGAACTCACTCTGTAGACCAGGTTGGCCTCAACCTCAGAAATCCGCCCGCCTCTGCCTCCCAAGTGCTGGGATTAAAGGCGTGCGCCACCACCGCCCGGCCTAGGGTTATCTTAGAACCTAGAATATAAAGGGGATATTTTGGGGGCTGGGGGTTGGTTTCTTGGGGTTTTTTTTGTTTGTTTCTTTTTCTTTTTCTTTTTTCCCCTATCCAAATTTATGGGTCTCTTGTTTAAACCTCTGGTAGAAAACAGGCCAGGTTTAACTTCCATCTTCTGGCCTGTTTTGGCAGAGAATTTCCTCTTTTAATTTTGTATCAGAGAACTCATGGCCTTCTAACCAGTGACCAAAGCAAAGGTTCTGTATTTGGGAGTTATTTCCTGACTTCCTTAACAGTGAAAAGTTGTCACAGTTCTCTGAACTTTATTCTGCATAAAAGATGTGGAAAGGCTGAATAGCATAAGAGAAAGGAACTTAGAACTGTGACTTAGTGATCTAGAAGCAAACCTGCATCTGACAGGACAGGCCATGCCCTAATTAATGGGTGGTTGCATGTGTCTTACTGGTTTCACCCACTCTGACTAAACTAGAAATACCATCCTCAGTTTTCCAATAAGAAATTTGCAGGTGATGGATTTATATCACCATTTTCCTAAAGTGTTTCATAAATCTATACGCATATAATAAGCATTGAATGAGCTGTGGGAATACTTGCCTAACCTCCCATCTCAGCTTTGCCATTTAGTAGCATGATTTTGGATAAGTTGTACCCGTATGAAGTAATTGTTTGTATTAAATGAGTACATATTTGTAGAATTTGGATACAGTGCCAAGCTGATAGGAAGTACTTGGGAAATGTCTAATAAATAGATGGAAAATAAAAATTAATGAATGACTTCTAGATTCCAGACGATGATGATGGGCAGGAACTTGTTTGTTCCAAGGCAGTACTGTTGACATCATCTCAGAGCTCAGAAAGTAGCCAGATGGAGCCCATGGAGCCTCTGCTTAAGCAGGAGTCTTTTGGATCTCTGTCCTCAGAAGTCAGAGGTTAGTATTACTAGGCTTTATGGGTGTTTGGGGTTTTGGGGTTTTTTTTCTCCCTTTTTGTGGTGGTGCATGTGGTGAATCTAGGACTTCACACATGCTAATAAAGTGCTTTTCCATATCTTCAGAGAACATCTTTGGATGCAATCAGGTAATTGGAAAGGAAATCAGGTATTTGGAAAGGAAATCAGGTATTTGGAAAGGAAAACATTTTATAAACTTGTGTTTGCATAAATTTATTATTAGTCAAGTTTTTAAACCTGGGTTTTACAATACAAGAAGGCTGATGCTAGTGTGTCTCACCCAGAGCTTCTTTTTGTTGTAGTCACCCAGGTGGGGCACTGTGGAGAAGATGGAGTGACAGCTACCAGGCTCACGTCAGAGTTGCAGGTGAGTTAGAGCTGTTCTCCCTCCTCAACATCCTTTACTAGTAGTGTGCTTCTCCCCACTCATCTCTATCCCTATCCTCAGGGATTGAATTTCCTTATCCATCTTAAGGTTTGTTTACTGTTTAACTTTGAATAGCATTTTTAAAAAATTATTTTATTTCATGTGCATTGGTATGAGGGTGTCGGATCCCTTGGAACTGAAGTTACAGACAGTTGTGAACTGCCATGTGGGTGCTGGAAATTGAACCCAGGTTCTCTGAAAAAACAGACAGTGCTCTTAACTACTGAGCCATCTCTCTAGCCCCTCACACAACATTCTTGAGGTCTCACCATTTGGGGGTGGGATAGAAAGGCTGTGAGCTTGCAACCCAGATATTCCCTATTCCATCTCTTTGATGGAATTTTATTCTTCTAGGGGTTGCTGAAAATGGAAGATGTCCTTTCCCCGAGGTGGACAGAGCAGGATTCATCTCAGATGAACCTTTACAAAAATGAAATGCAGGAGAACGCTGGCAGCCTGGTTTCCCTGGGTAAGACTGATGGGTACTAATTTCTTCTCAGGCTTCTTGCTGTCTTTTATATAATAGAGCCTACTTCCCCTGTTAGGCTGCTAAAAGCTGTTGAGTTCATTATGTTTGAAATTATAAACACACTTTGAAACACTGTTACTGACGAGCTCCTCACTGCGTGTAATTGTTGTTCTTTGTCTTCTGTCTTAGAGTTTCTGTTGCTATGACAAAACACTATAATCAAAGCAACTGGGAGAAGAAAGGGTTTATTTCAACTTACAGTTCCACATCATAGTCCACCATCAAAGGAAGTCAAGACAGGAACTCAGAGCAGGAACCTGGAGGTAGAAACAAAAGCTACAGATGAGTACTGCTTACTGGCTTGCTCCTCATGGCCGAATCAGTCTGTTTTCTTGTGTACTCCAGGGACACCTGCTCAAGACTGGCATTGCCACAATGAGCTAGGTCTTCCCACATTGACAGTTAATCAAGGAAATGTCTCCACAAACTCGCCTACAGGCCAGTCTAATAGAGGAATCTTCTCAATTAAGATTCCTTCTTCCCAGATAAGTCTAGATTTGTGTCAAATTGACAAGAACCAGTAGCACATGCTCCGAGTGTTGCAGTGACAGTGAACAGGATAAAGCATAGAGTTCCCTGTATTGTTCTGGCTTAGAGAAGCTGCTCAGAGAATACTGAGTGCAGAGGGTCCACATCTCACAGGGACAGCACACTTTCTGAGCATGCATGAAATCATGGCTTCAATTAACTGAAAAAAAAATTCCTCTTTTCCTTTCCTATTCCTGTCCATGACTAGTAAAAAGACTGAGGAGCCTCTCCATGAGAAATGGGTTGTGGAATCACAGTATGAGAGTTAGAAGCAACATTAGACACCAGCTATAGGCCCTGACCCTAAAGGCAAGAACACAGAAAGTTATCAGGCTTGTCAAATGTCACATGCTAGGTAGCATGGTAGGCCCTCCAGTTTTTCTCAGAGAACTGATGATCTATTCTGGTGTGCCTGGCACTGCCAGGGCAGTTTACATTACTACCTTTGTCTGTGTCCTAGTTAGAGTTTCTATTGCTGCAACAAAACACCATGACCAAGAAGCAAGTTAGAAGGAAAGTGTCTATTCAGCTTACACATCTTCATTGCTGTTCATCACTGAAGGAAGTCAGGACAGGAACTCAGATAGAGCAAGATCCTGGAGGCAGAGCTGGTGCAGAAGCCATGGAGGGATGGGGGTCAGGGGATTCTGCTTACTGGCTTGCTTCTCATGGCTTACTCAGCCTGCTTTCTTAGAGAATTCAGGACTACCAACCCAGGGATTGCACCACCCACAATGGGCTGGGCAGTTCCCCAGCAATCACAAATTGGGAAAATGCCTTACAGCTGGATCTCTTGGAGGCATTTCCTCAACTGAGGCTCCTCCTCTCTAATGACGCACAAACACAGCACTATTAAGCTACAACCTTTCTTTTATTAATTTCCAAGATACAACATTAAAATCATTGTCTTGGTTAGGGTTTTACTGCTGTGAACAGACACCATGACGAAGACAACTATAATAAGGACAAAATTTAACTGGGGCTGGCTTACAGCTTCAGAGATTTAGTCCATTATCATCAAGGTGCAATCATGTCAGTATCCAGGTAGTCAGGGAGCAGAAGTTGAGAGTTCTGCTTGGTCATCTGAAGGCTGCTAGGAGAAGACTGACTCCCACATGGTTAGCAGGAGGGTCTCAGAGCCCACACCAACAGTGACATACATCCTCCCAAATGGCCACATCTACTCCAACAAGGCCATACCTCCAAAAAGTGCCACTCCCTGGGCCAAGCATATTGAAGCCTCCACATTCATGAATAACTTTAAAAATCCCAATCTTTACAAATTCAAACACGTTAAACTAAAAGTCCAGAGGACTAGAGAGATGGCTCAGCAGTTAAGAGCACTAGCTGCTTTTTTTCAGAGGTCCTGAGTTCAATTCTCAGCAACCACAGGTTAGCTCACAACCATCTATAATGTGATCTGATGCCCTCTTCTGGAATACAGGTGTACATGCAGAAGGAGCACTCATATACATAAATAAATCTTTAAAAAATAAAATTAAAAGTCCTAAGTCGGGCTGGAGAGCTGGCTCAGTGGTTATGAGCACTGACTGCTCTTCCAGAGGTCCTGAATTCAAATTCAGCCTCACAACCATCTGTAATGGGATCTGATGCCCTCTTCTGGTATGTCTGAAGACAGCTACAGTGTACTTATATAAATAAAATAAATAAATCTTTAAAAAAAAAAAAAAAACAAGTCCAAAGTCTTTCAGCTGTGGGACCAATAAAAATCAAAATTAAATGAAATACCTCCAAGAGGGAAGAACCAAGGCACAGAAACCATTTACACCAGACAAAACCAAACCAACAGTATAAGTAACTCAACGTTCAATTATCTTGGATTCACTCAGCCTTCTGGGATCCTCCAAAGGGCTTGAGTCACTTCTCTGGTTCTGCCCTCTGCATCACACACAATTTATCTTCTAGGCTCTGGCTGCCCCCATTCTACTGCTGCTGCTTTCTTGGTGATCATCCCATCGTATTGACATCTCCAAAAAGCTAGGCTCTTCTGTTGCAACTAGGCTGCACTTTCACAAAGAGCCTCTCATAGGCTCTCTTCATGTTGCCAAGCTTCAAATCTTTGCATGACCCCTTCAGTCCTGAGCCTTCCATTGCAACTGAGGCTGCACCTGCTCCAATGGCCTCTCACTGTGCCAAGCCTCAGCTGTTCTCCATGACCCCTTCATGCCTTCAAAACCAGTACCACCTGGGTGACTCTTACATCTTACCAAGTCTAGCTGCTAGCAATAAGTACAACCTTGACCACCTCTGGAACATACCTTCTAAGTGCTGATTCTCAGAAAACACTTCCCAGCAGATTTCACCTCAGTGATGCTGGTCTCTTCTTAATCACCTCTAATTTCTTAGCTCCAGCTAACCAGCATCAATTATCCTAGTAAAACAAAGGTTTCACTTCAGTGGTGCTGGTCTCTTGTTAATTGTGGCTGACTCTTAAACCCCAGCTGACCAGAATGACAGAATCTTAATTCAAAATACCAAAATGGTCCATCACATTGAGCTCTGAAACTCAGTGGCTTTTCTAACTCAAAATTCTCCCACAATTCTCCCAAAAACATGATCGGGTCTGTCACAATAATATCCCACAGTCCTACTACCAACTTGTCTTAGGGTTTCTATTGCTGTAACAAAACATCATGAACAAAAAGCAAGTTGGGAAGGAAAGGGTTTACTCAGCTTACACTTCCACATTGCTATTCATCACCAAAATAAGTCAGGACAGGAACTCACACAGCATAAGGTCCTGGAGGCAGGAGCTGGTACAGAAGCCATGAACAAATGCTGCTTACTCAGGTTTGCTTCCCTTGGCTTGCTCAGCTTGCTCAGCCTACTTTCTTATAGAACCCTCAACCATCAGTCCAGGGATAGAACCACCCACAATGGGCTGGGCTTTCCCCAGTTGATCACTAACTAAGAAAATGTCATATAGCGGAATCTCCTGGAGGCATTTCCTTAACTGAGGCTGTTACCTCTGATGCTTGTGTCAAGTTGCCACAAAACCAACCAGTACAGACTTTATCACAAACAGATGTGAACACTACAGAAATCCTTTCATTTGCCCTGTTTTCTGTTGCTTCCTGGGTTCAGTCCTTCTCACTTCCATTCTAGCTTGTTTTCTGTTGCTGACCCAAATACTATAACTACTTAAGGGAGTAAAGGGTTTATTTTTACCCCACAGTCTTTCATTGAGGGAATTCTGAGCAGGAACTCAAACAGGAACCTGAGGGCAGGGACTGAAGCAAAGACCATTGAGAAATGCTGCTAACTGACTTTACTCCCTTCTTTTACAATCAGGACTACCTGCCCAGGGATGGCCCCATAGACTTGCCACAGACCAATCAGATGGAGGTGGTTCATCAATTGAGATACCCTTATAGTTTGTGTCAAATTGACAAAAAGTCACCAGCACAAGTTAATTGAGCCTTGTCAAATACATCCATTATGAAATCATAACCTTTCCTTTCTTGTTTATACCCAACCTTATGTTAATAACAGTCTAATTTTTTAAATCTCAATGTCTTTTTTTAAAAAAGACCTCAAAACTTTAAAATTCAGAATCTCTTTAACTTTTGGTTCCTGTGAAATTAAGAACAAGTCAAGGGCTAGAGAGATGGCTCAGAGGTTAAGCACACTGGCTGCTCTTACAGAGATCCTGTAAGAAGTCTTATAGAGGTCCTGAGTCCAATTTCCAGCAACCACATGGTGGCTTATGACCATCTGTAATGAGGTCTGGTGTTCTCTTCTGGCCAGCAGGCATACATGCAGGCAGAATACTATATATAAAATAAATAAATAAATACATACATACATACATACATACATAAATAAGTGTTTTAAATGGCTGGAGAGATGGCATAGTGGTTAAGAGCACTAACTGCTCTTCCAGGGGTCCTGAGTTCAATTCCCAGCAACCACATGGTGGCTCACAACCACCTGTAATGCGATCTGAGGCACTCTTCTGGTGTGTATCTGAAGACAGCTACAGTGTACTCATATAAATAAAAATAGATAAATCTTTAAAAACAAACAAACAAACAAAAGAACAAGTCAGTGATATACTCCAAAAGGAAAGCATTGGGCCATAAAAATCACATTTAAGCAAAGCCAAAGTCTAGCAGTATAGCTTCAAATTTTGTAGTTCAGTATTGAAGATCTATGACTCACTGATGACATTCTGGCTTCCAAAGGGCTTAGCTCTATTTCTCTCCAGCAGAGAAAGTGAAGTATTTCATCATGGCTACGTGTCTTTGCTGCCTTCCTAGTGTTACACCTTCAGGGTTCCCCTCTGGCCTCCACTGTATATCCACAGGAATCCTTAGTTCTCACCACTTTCTCTCCACTCCCACTACTCCTGGCTATGCCCTTCTTCCAACAACCCTATTCCTGCCTTCATGTCTTAGTAGCTTTTCTGTTATCCTCCTTTTGGTTCCATCCTAATTTCTGCACTTAAATGCTTAACCTTGCTGAACATACAGACCTTTGTAAGTATTGTCTCTATGCTATTCATCACAGTGCTCCTATGCAAAGCATGATTAACCATTGTTGGCATTTGTGTTTCAGATCAGGACATGCAGACTAAGGTTAGGGACTTGCCTCCAGCTGAGGAATACATGGAACAAAAGCCTGAGCAGACAGTGTGCTTCCTGGGTGAAGACACTGTCCAGATTCCTACAGGTGCAGAAGCCAGTGAGCAGGAAGGCAAGTTACAGACAGCACAGAAGAATGCCACAGGAAATAGGCGGTTCTATTGCCGTGAATGTGGAAAGAGCTTTGCTCAGAGTTCAGGCCTAAGTAAACACAAAAGAATCCACACTGGATTGAAACCCTATGAATGTGAGGAGTGTGGCAAAGCCTTCATTGGAAGTTCAGCTCTTATTATTCATCAGAGAGTTCACACTGGTGAGAAGCCATATGAGTGTGAAGAATGTGGTAAGGCCTTCAGTCACAGCTCAGATCTCATCAAGCACCAGAGAACCCACACTGGGGAAAAGCCCTACGAGTGTGATGACTGTGGAAAAACCTTCACTCAGAGTTGCAGCCTCCTTGAACATCACAGAATTCACACTGGGGAGAAGCCATACCAGTGCAACATGTGTCCCAAAGCCTTTAGGCGTAGCTCACATCTCCTGAGACATCAGAGGACCCATACTGGGGATAAAGATTTTTTTGTTCCAGAACCTTACTGGGAAAGTCAGAGTAGGGTGGAAAGCCATTGGGAAAATATTGAAACTCCTGTGTCTTATCAATGCAATGATTGTGAGAGAAGTTTCAGTAGGATTACAAGCCTTATTGAACACCAAAAAGTACATACTGGTGAGAAGCCCTTTGAATGCCAAACCTGTGGAAAAGGCTTCACCCGACCTTCATACCTTATTCAACATCAGAGAAGACACACGGGGAAGAAAACTTCTGTCACAGTGACCCCTGCTGTACATTCCGAAGTTGGTGTTCAACTGTCATTGAACTGAAGCCACTCTGGAGCTCTTAATGACTGCAGAGGTCATAGGCTAGGGCTCTATTTATAATGTACATCCTCAGATATTAGGAATCTGGCTAAGACTTATTATCTTCTACATTCTAGAAGATGACTAGGAAAAAAAGCTTATTTCATAGGAGAGTTGTCTGCAAGAGTTCTCACCCATTGGAATTAAATGGGCTTCCTGACTGGCAAATTGCCTTCCCTTGGCCTGCACTTCATGTCTCTTGAGGGAATGGTTATGCTTTGGGGGTGTTACTCTGACCCTTCGTTAGGCTAATGAGCCTTTCACATGTGGTTAGACTTGGAACTCTTATGTCCTGCTTTGTGCCTTGTATACAGGTGCTAATAAACATTTATTAAATATACTGGTGAGATTTCCTACATAGCTTTGAAAACCATTATCTAGAAATTCTCACCAAGGCCATTTGTATATCTTTTAAAAAAATGATGTTTTAGATTGAGTTGATGTAGTACTGCTTTGTTTTTGTTTTTTTGCCATGTACCCCAACTTGGCAGGGCAAAGGTGAAGGTGAGGTTACTGTGCTAGAATCCTTTAATTCTTTACCTAATTTAGGAATTCTGTGAGAGTGCCTTAAACAGCTTTCTTAGCATTAAGTCATTGTGAATGTGCCACCCATGGAATTCCACTAATATTTTTTTCCCTGTTAATTTTGTTACTCTGGAGAGAACAAAAAAGAAAAAAAAAACTTTCCTACTCATGTAGTGTGAAAAAGAGTTTCAGAATAAAGTGATCAATGCCTAACGCTCAGCTTCTTGATTCTCACTTGGGTGATTATCTTGGGCCTGACTGAGAGCTCCTGCATCCTCTTCTTGTGTCACAACCACTGTGCTAATGCAGTGGGTTAGTCCATGTGGTCCATATGATACAGCAGAGTTACTCAAGGATCTGGTATGTGTGGAGTTAGAGTTGGCAGGAGCTTCACTACTGAGTAAGCAGCAGTTGGTCTCTGGATGTGCTGTGTCCCATGGTGCTTAGTACAGGGAGAGGGGTTTCCTAAGTTACATTCCATAAGCAGTGACACTGCTAGCTTGCTGTGTCCTTTATGACCACCTACTTAAGGAAGAACTATTCGCAGATGTTTGCCTGTCTCCTACTATACCAATAGGGAATATGTGAACGCCTGGCTTGGCTCTCAGTCTCTTACTTATGAGTATTCTCAGGAGTCTCGCTTAATCCCGTCACTTGAGAAGCAGAGGCAGGCAGATTTCTGAGTTTGAGGTTCACCTGAACTACACAGCAATTTCCAGAACATTCAGGGATATGCAAAGAAATCCTGTCTGAAGACAAAAACAAAAAAATCATTTCACTGGAGTGCTGGGGAGATGGCTCAAAAGTTAAAAGCGCTTGTTGGAGATGAACCATGTTCAATTCTCAGGACCCACACAGTACCTTGAAACCATCCATAACCCAGTTCCAGGGGATCCAATACCCTCTTCTGACCTCAGGGGACCACACACCCTTGGTGCACAGACATACTTAGGAGCAAAACACTCATAAATAAATCTAAACATTTTTTTAAATGAGAGTTTCAGGAACGTGGCATTTAATGTTCTACTTTTCTCAAAAGTATCACACATACTGAAAATAAGCTGCATAGAGCCTATCCCCGCTAAATCCACACTTTGGCAAGCCAATGAATTCACACTAAATATTTAAAATAAAAATTGCTTGCTTTTGGATCTAGGATATGTTAACTAAATCACCTGTACCCAATGCCATTACACATGGTAGTTACTTTATGTTCACTCCAGTAGCTCCCTTGGACACTGCAGACCCCCCCCCTTTTTAAATGTAGGACTCTTTTTCAAAAAATTGTATTTATTTTATGTATGTGAGTACACTGTTTTTGTCCTTAGACCTGCCAGAAGAGGGCATCAGATCCTGTTACAGATGGTTGTGAGCAACATTATAACATGTCCCCAGCCAGAGCTGAAGCAGTTTTAATGTCTTTGAGTCTGCTTTTATATCATTCTAGGTACATGCAAAGAATAGGGTTGGTCCTAAAGCATAAACAAAGTAATCAAGGAACAAATAAGGCATAAAGAAAGTAGTTAAGGAACAAACAGCATAAACAAAGGTCCCATGATTGTATCCAGGGACTTAATGAGACAATCAAGACACAAAGAACACATTCCTCAGCTGTATTTATCTTGAGTCTTAGCCCAATATCAAATTCTTGGCTGAGCCTACTCCCTTGTTCTAGCCCAATGTAAATATTCTTGTTAATATCCTTGAAGCGGTACCAAGAGCTCTCCACACTACAGACACATGTTTAACAGATCCTCATTCATGTAAATGGTTTGTATCTCAGTAATAAGCCACATTGTTTTCTCATGTGTTTTTTTTTTTCTTTTGGTTTTTCGAGACAGGGTTTCTCTATGTAGTCCTGGCTGTCCTGGAACTTACTCTGAAGACCAGGCTGGCCTTGAACTCAGAAATCCGCCTGCCTCTGCCTCCCAAGTGCTGGGATTAAAGGCATGCGCCACCACCGCCCGGCTTTTCATGTATTCTTAAATGTAAAAATGCATGGCATGATTTCTAAATTTCTGAACATGTATTAGGATCCTGCAGAAAATCAGTACAATGTACAGGTGTGTTGGAGGGGGCATATCTTTAAGGAATTGGTATGACGATGGAGGCTGCTTCCTGTAATCTGGAGACCAAGGGTGTGAGTCTTAGTTCAAAAGCTAAAAGGCTCCAGACTCAAGAAGAACAATGTTCAGTTTGAATCCAAGGACTAGAAAAGCCAATGTCCTGCTCAAGATAATGGCAGGAATGGTGTTACTTTTCTAGGGAGAGTCAGTTTCTTTGTTCTTTCAGGCCTTTAACTGATTGGATGAGGGCCCAGATCTGGGGCAGTGTACTTACTGAATTACAGATTCAAATGATAATCTCCAAAGCCACGCTTTCTGCACTCTCAGTGATGTCTGACCAAAATAGGGTCCAGAGGATACATGGAATTACTCCCTCATGGTGCTGATGCAGGTGAGCAGTTTGCGTTACGCCGCCACACCTTTTTGGTGTGTATTTCATATCCCAGACTGACCTCAACTTCTCTTTGTAGCCAAGGATGATCTTAAACTCCAGATCCTCATGTCTCCACCTTCCAGGTGCTAGGATCACAGGTGTGTATTACCACAGCTGGCCTGCTCCCACCGTCAGGTGTGTATTACCACAGCTGGCTTGCTCCCACCGTTCCTGACTGAGCTGAGCCAGGTTGTTTGTCGACTCCCTTCTCTGCTTCTACATCAGGATAGAAAAGGAGCACCGTGAGGCTGAGATGTGGTAAGTTACCAGAGTCCAAAGTAGACTCAGATTCTAAATGGAATTCACAAAGTTGACTGCTTCTATTCCCCCTTTGATAGAAAATCCCCAGGTACTTAATGCTTAAGACTGTTTCTTTTCCTGTTTTCAGGAATAAAAAATTACCTGTTTCCCAACAAATTGTATCTTTAAAATCATCCTGACATGACTGTGTTGGGACAGGTTAAAAGGAATCAAAGATGGACAAGAGCATGGGAACTAAAGTCTCTTCCTTGTAACCAATTCATTTATATCTCCTTTTTCTTGTCCATCTAAAGTAGAAGTGATGGCATGTATCACAGCTATTTGGCAACTAGCATTCCAGCATATGCCACACAAGATGACCTAAGCCCTATCTCCACTTCATTTTCTAAGCACCAAGACTACTTTCCACTCAGCTCCCTGCCTATCACGAAGCTTTTACTAGACACATGGTTTCCTCTCTCAAGGATGGACGCTGTCTACCTCACTTAAAGTATAATCACAAGTTTACAAAGACTGTTTATCTGCAGTGTGACAAAAACCTCTTAGCTGCAGAATGGCATGCCCTTGTATAATCTGTTTTGATACCATGTGATAGTTGGTCTTGGATGTTGACTGTACAAAGAGATGTCTCTAATACCAAGGCTGAGTTGTCATCGCTGTCACTCCCATCTATTCCTGAGGAAAGAATACATACACACATAAAATAAAAACTAAAATAAGGGGGATGAGAAAGGTAGATCTGTGTGTCTGAGGATGTTTCCAGATCTGAATAACTTTATTTTTGTTGTTGTTGTTGCTGTGATAAAATACCATGACCAAAGGCACCATAAGGAAGAGACAGGGTTTTGTTTTGTTTTTTATTTTTAAAGGTTTTTTTCATACAATATATCCTGATTATGGTCCCCCTCCCCCATCCCTTCCAACTCTATCTTCCTTTCCATCTGGATCCAAACTTTTTCTGTCTCTTGTTTAAAAAACAGGCATCTAAGGAATAATAAGATAAGATAAATTAAAAACAATCTAAATATGACTAAAATTTAAAAAAAACTGAATATGACTAAATAACCAACCAAGAAAAAGAGCCAAAGAAAAGGCATAAATAAATGCCAATAGATAAAAGACACACATGTTTGCACACTCAGGAGTCCCACAAAAACCCCAAACCGGAAGCCATAATATATGAAAAGGACTCACGAGGTAAGGAAAACAAACAAAACAAAAAGAAAAACTCTCTGACAACCTTATGAGACAAAGAACCTCCAAAGATGTTGTTGAGTTCATTTCCTGTTGGTCATCTACTGCTAGGCAGGCAGCCTTCCCTTAAGGCTGATTTGTTTCCTACGTGAACCCTCTTGGAGAAAACTATTCATTTTCAAGAGGCTATCAACTGGAAACAGCTTCTGAGTTAGGATTTGGAGAATGTGTCCATTCCTTCTCTCAGTTTGAGGAACCCATCTGGTGTTGCCCCATGCAGGCCTGCCTCAGTCTCTGTAAAGTCATACACTACCAGCCCTGTGTTGTCTAGAAGGCCATGTTTCCTTGGTGTCGGGAATTCCCTCTGGTTCTTACACTCTTACTGACTCTTTTTCTATAAGGTTCCCTGAGCCCTGAGGGGAAGGATTTGATGCTGACTATTCCAAGTCAAGCTTTCTCTGCAAATTGTCTGGCTGTGAGTCTCTGCATTTGTCCCCGTCTGGTACAAAAGAAAGCCTCTCTGATGATGGCTGAGCAAGGCACAGATGTATGAGTATGGCAGAATGTCATTAGGAATGATTTTATTGCTATGCTTTTTTAGTAAAACAGTAGTTCTGCTACTGTTGCTTTTATGCTAGGTTCCTGAGCTATCTAGTATCAGGTTCTTGGTGACCCAAGCAGCATTAGGTATAAGTTCCATCTTGTGGAAGGAGTCTTAAATTAAACCAAATATTGATTGGTTATTCCCACAAGCTTTGGACCACTGTCTTTGCTTGGGTTTCATTGTTGTGAAGAGATACCATGACCAAGGCAACTCTGATAAAGGAAAACATTTAATTGGGGCTGGCTTACAGTTTCAGAGGTTCAGTCCATTATCAACATGGTAGGAAGCATGGCAGTGTCCAGGCAGACATGGTGCTCTTGAGCACATATAAGACCTCAAAGTCTAACTGTACAGTGACACACTTCCTCCAACAAGGCCACACCTACTCCAATAAAGCTACATCTCCTAATAGTGCCACTCCCTAGGGTCCAAGCATTCACACACATGAGTCGGTATATACCATACCTGTTCAAACCATCACAGCCATCATCACATTGCATATTTTGCAAGTCACTCTTATAGGCAGAAGGGTTCATAGCTGGGCTGATATTTACCTTTGTCCTTTGGTAGGGTGTAAAGTATTTTCTAGTACTATGAACTAGTCCATGTGAGGGATGGCACTAGGTAGGTACCAACTCACATCTCCATGTACAAT